GTTCAACGAAATTTCGAATCTGGAGTTCAATGGCGAGAGCTAAAGAGCAGCTGGGCGAAATCAGAATGCGCGAGGTTGGCCTGATTCTCGAAAAAGCTTGAAATTGAAATAGTCACCCACACCTCGAAATGATTGCTTACGCTCGCTCTTCCGACCACCTTAATTTCTTCTCTTTTTTATTTTGCCTTATTCAAATTGAAATCTACTAATAACTGACAAAAAATTCGTTGCTCATTCGCCTATGCAATGTGTTAGGTGGAGATTCTTGATATCACTTCTCAGCGAACTTCGGTACGTGACTTTAAGTTTTGTGCTATGAAATCTAACAACAAAGTTTTAATGGAACCATAGAAACGTGCATCAATGGTTAGGCAAGCACAACATCTCGCGGGTTCGAAGCAATTTGATCAAATTCCACAAAGCAGAGCGTAACGAGCCCATCAAATGAAGATGGGCCGGCCATCTCATCAACGATATCGAGACGGATTCGATTTGCCATTAGGCGATCACGATTTTTGTATCTGCGTCGTTCCAGAAAATCATTAGGATCATAGGAAACATTTTGCAGAAGTTTTCTTGTTTGACCGAGCGCTACACTTATTTTATGTTTTGAAATTTGCACAGAGGCTAGATCTTCTTAACTGTGGTTTCATGTAGAAAAAACTCGTATTCATTGCCAGCCATCTTTCAGGCAACATTATTGAACGGCTTAAAATGTAATTATTATTAATGACTTGGCAGCCACTCAAAAGTTACAAAGCGGCTCGTAAAAACAGCTCATTTTAAAAACAATTTCACCGTGTTCACTCAAGGTTTTCCAATGAAAGTAACTTAAAACAAGAATCGGCAACAGGCCATGGGCCTAAATCTCCAGTGCCGACACCTAGCCTATTCTATTCTAAATAGATTCGTGTCATGAAAGAACACACGATAAAGAATTCTTAGCGAAAATTGCTTGATTTAAACCGAGTTGAACTGGTGTAAGTTAACAAGTTTTTGTACAGCAGACCCAGTCGAGCTGCAATTCAATGATCGAAATAAAACAACACCAGCTTTGTAGTCTGTAGTACGGTACCAAGACGAAAACGGGACTGATTTTTCATTTCGCGAACTTAGACAATCAAGACTAACAATTTCAATAGAATTTTTGAAAGAAAATTGAAAAAATAATAACGAAAATACCTTGATCAACTATGCTTGAACCTAAAATTTCATTCGTCATTCTCTGCGTTTAGCAAGTTATTGACATATATTTTCAACATTATTAAGCTAAAAATATTGCAGCAAGGCACGATAACAAGTATATTATTTCTTCTTCCATGAAAGAAATTAACCAATATGCGAAACAATTATCATCATGCAGCTTGAACGCTGGTTGACGATCCATCAATTTATGGTTCTACTGATAATTTAGCATTGCCAGAAAATTGAGCACATTTGCCATGATTAGTTCATTTTAATGAACCTCGTCACTCTTAACAATAAATAATTGTTTAGTGTTAAGCCTACGGAAACTAAGTGCCAGAAGGCAGGGCCTATACTTTCAAAAAAAGTTAAGAGATCGTAAGTTCATCAGCCAATCATTGACGGCCTTTCAAGCAAAATCCACCAATCATAGACAAGAAAATATAGCGTAAGTACTTACGTTCACTTAACGAATATTGAAAGTATGGCCCCAGGTTATGAAAAAGGAGTGAAGTTAACTTCGCAGCAGCTTCAAGTGTTGAAAATTATGACCAAGAACTGGTTTATGAACTGTAATCCATCACAGCAAGTCACTTGCTCTTTTTGCAGCGGTTCAACTTTTATGAAGTGAATAAGAAATTCTCAATTCCATATCCTAGCGCATTACAAAGAAATTATTAATTTTATAAAAGGACTATTTATTATCTACTTAGTAGTATATGTATATTTATTCGATATTACTGACTATTTATTAATAAAAGGATATTGAATTCTGATGCGTAGTATCAGTATTATGGAAAACCAGAATGATTTGCGATAGCCGCAATAAATATGCCAGGTTATTGGAAATTTTATTCATGGAACATGCAAGATGGCAGTCAATGATAGCACTAACTTGTAAATTATCCTCGTTTTCAAAAGTTGATTAAATTTATGAGTTGCAGTAGGAGGAGGATTAAATGGGTTGATCAATTCTGTAGTTCCCACAGTAACCAAAGACAGATCGTGCCAGCGTTGGGAGATCTTGTAGAAATTCACAACAGCTCTGAAGGTATCATCAAGACTGGCTTCCAACTTGTTGCAAGTTTTTGCAGATTGTCTAAGATTTGCTCCTATAAGAAAGCTCATAAATCTGAGAAACTTTATATCAGTTCTAAACGAGATGTTAGAAGCCTTAACGTTGGTCGCATTAAGAACGTCGATGCACCGGAAATGACTAACATCTTGTGAAGGGTAATTTGTTAGCGTTTAATGCATGTTCATCCGTGATAATTTAGCTAAAAGGAATCTATACTAAAACGAATCCTAAAAAATATCAGAAAATAACCCACACAAAAATCAGGCTACGTCAGGTGAAACAATAGTTAATATCACGTAATCCTTACCTTACTTCCACGTTGATGCTGACCGACTTAACACGCTAGGTTTTCACCCGAAAGATTCCTTCCCGTCTTTAAAGTCTCCGCAATCGCAAGTCTGATATTCCAGGCAGGGATCACTAGTCTCTCAAGACAAAGCCCTAGCGTCTCGAGACTATGATCACGATTCACTATTACGGATTGGTGCAAGTGCAAGTGTGTCCACTCTTGAGGGAGAGAAGTACGAGACATTTGTTTTACATATCTTTTCAGGGGCAATATTGTTTAACTGAATCACATAACTAATATGAAAGTAAAACTCTTTATTCTGTTGGCCAATTGCCAAATAAGCTGAAAAAGAGAATAGGAACTTAATACACGAAGATGACTTCTCCAATAAAGTGAACTTGCCCTTAGGTCGTAAAAACGTAACTGAAAACGCGGGTCAACTAAAATGGTCAAATAATGTCTTTCATTAGCGCTATCTTTGAGTTTCTTTGATACCTTTTTATCAGTAGATGGAGATTTATTTACCTCCGCAAAACAAATCCATTAGCTTCGCCTAAAATTTGCACGGACTTCTTAATTGGAGGTTCTACTTTCTACCTACTTACATTTGCACGGACTTTTTGAAGGTTCTACTTTCTACTAGTACGAGTATCGTAGCATACCGCAAAGTTCTTTCCTAACATTATAGGTTTTCTTTGCGAAACTTATCCGCGTCGAAGCTCATCAGCGCTTTCATTTGACGACGATAAAGCAAGAAGAGACAATCGAGCTCGTGAAAGAGCCTGCATCCACTTGTAAGAAATAGCGAACAAGAATACGGGTTAAGGCTCTTGATCTCACAGCGGCTACTAAAATTAGTCCATTTGAACGGTGTGTCCGTGTTTATTTAAACTGATTTCGAGCACAAGTGTTACACTTGACGTTCCTTTTCTCTCCATCATCAGCAATACAGTATAAGCCAAACGAACTCACGTTATGCCTACTATTCATATGAATACAAACATTAGAATAAATATAATCAAGTATAAAATGTGCGCAATACCTACAACACTACACAAATGGAGCGCCGCTACAAGTCTACCATGTGCCGGCAGATTGAGTGAACGTCAGAAATGATGAACTATTAGCCAAATAATCTTGCGGAATGTCTGCATACGTAAACGAAATATGACCGAATAATTAAAATGAGGAAATTGCGAAACACGTTCTTTATTTCAGACTGAATTTATAATGTTTCCTTATCTTAAACAATGGATCTTCTATTTGTAGGTCTCCCCGTAGCCCCATACTATCATTATTTTCTTAAATGCTCAAATTTTAAACTCAACAGCATTACCTCATCGAGACATAAGCTATTTATCTCTTAATATATAATAATTCACTGCATTCTAGTCCATACTATTGGATGACAGAATTCATATTCTTTGTAAGCTTCTGTACTGTAATTACCATAACTTTATAAGAATCAATTAATGCATTGACGGAACAAACAAGGCTCTCAATACGACCTTTTGATTTTCTTTACATTGCACATCCTTTGAGACACAGTTTGCTGCTATAGCTTTTCGTTTGAACTCACTAATTTTTTAACCACAAACAACTGAGGATGGGGAAGCGCAACTCATAGCGGATTACCGTGTGCGCCTATATGAAGGACATCAATATAAACAAGAATTACAGGTTAAATTTACTCTATTCTTATTATGCCAAATGATATTTATGATCCTACGCATCTAATCGTTATGTACAAAAAGATTGGTGGTTTCCTATCCCAGTAGTCGGCTTAGAATCTATTGCCTTATGGAATTAAAAACAGAAACACGTGTAACTTACAATTATCTCAGAATTTGAATGTCGAAATGAAGCTCACAGCCATTTTATCTCAAGGTACCGTATTCATATTTCAGTGCGACATATCTTAAATAAGCCGCAATAAAGTAAAGCCGAAGCAAACAGATAAATTTCCTTAATCTTAATATTATTGACAGCACACATTTTGTGGGGCACACAAAAGATAAGGCAACCTTTATCTTTGATTGGACGTTACTTGTTAAGATTAAACAAATTGCTTTAATAAATTTTTGTCAGACAACCAAAAAAGAGAATGAATAAACAATATGACGTTCACAAAAACCTCAGGGGCCATACTTTCAAAAAAAGTTAAGAGATCGTAAGTTCATCAGCCAATCATTGACGACCTTTCAAGCAAAATCCACCAATCATAGACAAGAAAATAGATCGTAAGTATTTACGTTCACTTAGCGAGTTTTGAAAGTATGGTCCCAGCAGTACTACGGGATAATTAGGTTTCTCGTATCGCCAAAAACACCGATTGTCGGAAAGTTTCACAAGCACATCTATTCCACTAATGGCTCTAACTTCTATTCTAGATCCTCTGCTACTACTACTAGTTGATATTCAATAATTTGAAACTTGGAACTTATGTCCAGAAAATGTCAGAACATTTGATGATAATTGTTAAAGAAACTGCTTTGTGAGCGATTAGTTTATATTTGTATTAAAATCTGATATTGATGCAGGCGTGTTATCGACTTCATTTAACAACTAGAAATTAAACGGAAGCCACAAATGAAAGTGCTTAGTGACGCGCTCTCTGACTAGTTGTAAAATTAAAGTAGAAGTTACGATTGGATGGAACTAATGATTTAATAATTAGCCATAATCTGAAAATCAAAACGATTCAACTTAAAATTAACAAACTATATATAGGTTTACTGCCAATTTGTGCCAAGTGCCAACTGTTCGTGGACGTCCGAAGACATTGAACACCAGTCCCTCAAACCGAATTTTCAGAACATGAATCATCTCGAGAAATATTCGAGTTCGAGGGCACAGACAGACATCTTAACGCTAGACAATCGTCGGAACCGTCTTTGAGTTTATCAGTCGAATCTGCCGCGATCTTTTCAGGAGTCTCAGTAAGACGTACCCGCGCTCGCTGCCCAACGTATCTCTGCAAGATGGCTTCCTGTTCAGGGGTGAATTTAGTCTTGGCATGGCAATTTTTAACTGGGTGTGGAGAATCTGCGCCACTTGAAGACTCGCGAGACGATGACTTGGCCTCGATGACAGTCTGTAAGCGTTGAGGCTTGTCTTCGCCTTTGCGGTCGCGAATCGAATCTCGATAGGAACAAAATTTTCCAGGCGGGCACTTCTTGCCACTGTCTAGCGAGTCGGAGATCTGTGTCGGTGAAGACACTCGGCGGTTCTTATTGAGCTGGACAGGGTTCAGTACCATTGGGTTCGTAGTGGACGGAGTTTTGGACCGCACGAGCTTTCTAGGACAGAGACTGCACCGAGACAGCAAGGACAACAAATCACGATGGTACTGCTTTGTGAGAATAGCGTACAGGTAAGGATTAGCACACGAATTTAGCGGATAAAAGAACACTAAAAGAAACTTTGCATGAGTGACGCTGATCAAAGGATAGCCCAGGACTGCAGTTAGGCCGAAAAAGGCAATCGGAGCCCAGCAGGCGAAGTCCGTGAAGACTAATAGAGCCATCCTTTTAGCAACAGTGGTATCGCTCTTACAAGCGTTGATGTTGTTGCGAGTGATGGACCAGTACATGGTAGCATAGCACACACAGATCAGCATAAATGCTGCTCCATTCGCAGCCAGCAACGTCAGCAGGTAGGTCATGGATGCGAAGTTATTCTTTTCCATTGGCAAGCAGATACTGATGGAGAAAATACATAAAAATAGGTTTTACTGGAGTGGCGATTTAACACAGGATATTTATCATTTATGAGAGACTGAAAATTCCGTTTTTCAAGAGCTGTAAACCATAATAGCATGAGTTAATACGTCCAAAACCAAAAATTTTGCCGAGTTAACATGGTCACCCCTGTGTTCCACATTGACTTTGATCGGCAAATGTTAAAAAATCACCTTTCCCGGACTAGCTTTAAATAAGTATACCTATTTTGTCACCTAGTTTTTGAGTAGCTGGAAACTCCAAGCAACGGTAGCGCAGCCATGCAGATGGCATACACCCAGGCCAGAACCATTATCTTTGCGGCAAGGTGCAGGCGCAGACGTTTGTTGAGGTGTATAGCGTACGTGATGGCATACCATCGCTCCAGAGTGATCACGACCAGCGTCACGATAGAGAGCTCCGACCCGAACACCGTCAAGAAGCCAGCTATTTTGCAGCCCCAACCTGACCACAGTAAATCACTTGGGTTCTAAAGTTTTGTATCAGAATACAGTAATCGTAGCCGTGAATCAATGGTATTTTAAAGTTTCGTATCTGTATTAACGACAGTAGTATTATTAACGACACAAGTATTATTAACGACAGTAAGTATTATTAACGACAGTAATCGTCGTTAATATTACTCGTATCTAAAGGCCAAGTAAATAAAGAAACCGTCATTCAACAACTATTCTTTTAGGTAACTATTCCTCCGTGATATCAGGCGCTGATTGATATAAATAAATCACAAGCTTACTTGCTACAAAAACAAGCGTCACATAGAATGAAAAAAGAGTTAATGTAATAAAAATGTATACCCTGTCCATATGTGAATTTACCATAGTAGCGAGACTATGGCAGCTCCTGGACGCTTAATTATTGTTGAGCAACATTTTGGTTTGGGCAATAATATTGAATGTCTAGGTGGCATATTCAGAATTTTCGCCATATATAGGGTGTTTTTTATTATCTTGAAACTATATTGCGCAAACTGGAAAATATTGTGCCATCTAGGGGCAATATTGCACAATATTCGCTCAGTACGTCCCTAGCGGGCGTTACAAGTGGTTTTGTGAACATGAGTCCTCATCATGAAGGGCGACAGAAGCCTTAGCTCCAAACTCTGGGTGATTTTTAATTTAAAAATTATACAAATTGTTTGAAAAAGAACCAGTACGAGATACTGATAAAAAGTGGTCTCACTTCATTTAACAAGAACTAGTCAAGAAACTATTGCATGAATCATTTTTCCCTTTGAGCGAGCTTTTTCTGTTCTATATTTACAACTTTCGGCTGCATAATTATGACACAAAACGATTTATTTTAGCTCAACATTTTGACTAATTTTTAATACTGGCAGGAGGCTGCTTATGCATTTTTGTAGTACATCGGGAGGGGGGCGTGATTACGCAATGTACTGCGCATTCTCTCAATATGGCTCCTTATAGACTCTTAATATCATTGAGCAAACCAAAATATTGCTCCATAACATTGAACGTACAAACGCTGCTTAAGAAATAAAATCGAGCCATTTTCATTCAAATTGCTGCGTGTTTCAATATATTTGTTTCATATTGCTCCCGTAATTCTGCAAACACTGAAAAATAATATTTTTGACTTTTCAGCAGCCATGCTTTAAAAAAAGCTCAGATCCGAAACAGTCCTTCTAAAAATTCTTCTCCGAGAATCTGAGCAGCTTGGAAATCGCGTCATGTACAACCTGCAGCGATTACATCAAAACTAAAGCAGTCATTGCGGCTTTTCCGAAACATTAAGATGCCAAAATCTCAGGAAGTGGACCTGGCCCGAAAAATAACAATGGTATGAAGGTGCCTGTACGACCTAGCAGCAAAATAGCCTAGCATTTCGGTCGCGTCTTTTCAAAGCACCTCTGGAGGGTGGCAATTGCCACCTATTTAAGGCTATTTTGAGAGCTTTTTTAATTAATTTTACGACATTGCCACATGAGCTGCACTTTACAGCGTAAAAACTCAGGGGGAAATTAAAGCGTGTCTGTGTTACCAGCCGCTCATATGGGTTTCACTAAATGAGCGAAACCTAAAATTCATGCTAATAATGAGAGCGGCTTTTGGCAAGGATAGAACTCTAGGTGGTGTAATTTTCCAGCAAATTTTAAACCCCTAGATACAAATTCATCAATCAACTTCTGCAGTCTAGTATAAAGAAACAGGATGAAACATTTTTTATTGCTCAACGGGCCTGAAGCGCTTACAGTAAATGTGATCACTAGCCATCAAAACAATCTAGATATTCGCTCACGAGAACAATAATTAAATTTCATTGTTACCGAAGGCAATTTCGTTGCAGCAAATTCACTATTCCCCTCTTCCACACACACAGCAAACCAGAATGCAAAACAGCAATTTCTCCAATTATTCTTCAATCTACTGGTAACTGTCAATGAAGGAAGTTATTTTGCTGCAGGACTGTTGTCTCTTTTGAATGCTAAAACTGCGTGTCAGAATTTATCACCTCTCTGCCAGTCAAGTGCGTGATTGAAGTAACGGCCTCTGGTATGCATGTCAACTGCCGCGATCATCATAAGGTAGATGCCCATGCACAGGTCGGCCATGGCTAAGTTGCAGATTAGGAACTTGGACACGGTCATCTTGTAGCGGTTGCTGAGAAGCACCACCATCACCGCCAGATTTCCTGACAGAGACAAGAACAATCTTATTGCACGTACGAACACCAACTCGGTAAGTTATTAGTTCAGTGGCCGTGGTTGCTAGCGCTTCAGGTCGAGCTATCTCGCGCCGTCAACTCGGTAAGACTCTGAAGCAATTATTTTATTCCTATATTTTTCACCGAAGTTGCTCTCGAGGGTTTAATGACCCAAATGAAATTTAGTTTTCCGGTTATTTCATTCGAGGACGTAGTGATAGATTTACAACTGTGAGAGAAAAATTTCGAAGTGACGTCGTGGTTTTAACCGTCAATGATTGGCTGATGAACTTACGATCTCTTAACTTTTTTTGAAAGTATAGGCCCTGGTTGCTAGTGGCCGTGGTTGCTAGCGCTTCAGGTCGAGCTATCTCGCGCCGTCAACTCGGTAAGACTCTGAAACAATTACTTTATTCGATCATTACTCAACGAAGTTGCTCTCGAGCATTTAATGAACCAAATGAAATTTAGTTTTCCGGTGATTTCTTTCGAGAACGTAATAATAGATTTACAAACTGTGAGAGAAAAATTTCGAAGTGACGTCGTGGTTTTAAGTTAAATAAAGCGTTGATAAAAGATAGCGTAGATGCTCAAAGTTATTACACTGAGCATACATTAGTGAGAGGTTGGAAATTGAGGGTGCTTAAAAAAACGTCGGGCAATTGATTAAAAGCAGGCTATGGCAGTGACTACAACAATTCAGAGGACAGCTGTCGTGGCAATGACATTTTTTGGGGGGAGCCGGGGCCCAGAAATACTATATTCAGGAGGAAATGTGCCTGCTTATAGGATACAAGGAGAGTTTCAGCCCCTGCAGTATATTAGAGAGCCTGGAAGAAATTAGAGTGTTATTAGAATGGAGTTCATTCGGCATAACCGGTTTAACCTTTTTAGGCACAAGCAATTTTGTTCATGTTGGGATGCACGCTTCTTTGCTAATATAATTTTAAATGTAAGTATTGTTTACTTGCAACCGTCTGTTTGAACTATTATTGTGACGGCCCGATAATAGAACTTGATTCACATTTCCTTGGAAAACCTTAGCCGCCATGGGGCGCTAGTGGGTAAATGATAAGATCAGGATACCGATTTATTTAAGTTAATTTGTCAAAGTGTCTCAATAACCAAAACTTAACAAGTGAAATCACTTTTTATCATTTTTTCAAGAATAGTAACAGCGATTGCACGGCTGATATTGAGCCCAACCATAGTGTCACAGCATTAAGTCAACCATAGTAAGTCAACCACAGTGTCACAGTATTAATTATGTATTAAAGAAACATAATTATTTTTGTAGCGTAGATCAGTTATGAAATTTGCATCTCTCATTAACCTACCGAAGACTGCAGTGATGACGACGAGCCACACGGCGACCCTGAGGCTGAAGTTATGCATGACGTCCTCGCAGGGGTTGAAGGCGTCAGGCTTCGGTAGACACTTCACTGCGTGGTAGTTCTTAGGCAGCTGACCGCATACCACACTTGTCTGGTTACGCGCACTGGACGAACAAAGAGACATTGCCTTTTGAACAAAGATTGATAGGAATGTTAAGAATAAAACGATACTGTAACGAAGTAAAGTTCGATATAAGACACTGAAGTCCGATTTAAAGTGAAATAAAAAAAATTGAAGAGTGTGAAATAAGAAAATATTGCAGAATCTTTGATGATTAATTTGGAATCATTGCGTATGCAGTACGATTTGATTTCAAATTAATCCAGCAACTAGGTGCCATCATTTAGAAAACCTTGCACATCTCAAACTATCGGAAAAAGTTGAAGCAGGCTTATTTTAATATTTGTAGTCATTTTCTCGTGTTTCCTGAGATCCTATGCATTACTGATTTAACTTGATTATTTAAGAATAAAATTTTTCCAGCTGATTGAGAGTGAAGTTGGTGTATTCTACAGTCATCACATATGGATAGAAATTTATGTCCCATTGAAGGCATGATTTCATCAATCTCATCAAAATATCTAACTTTATTTGTCATCACTGACACAAAAGAAACCGTGTGGAAGACGCTGGAGTTGTCCGCATGAACGTTATAACTCGTAGAGTCATACCCGAAGAATTTCGCTCTGAAATTCTCCTGTGGCATTACAGATTGAAATCCATTGTCTTCCAAGAAGTGGTCCTTGGCAAACGGGCCAACGACTCCATCTGACTCAATTATATCAGCGAAGCCTTCCTTATGAGGGAAACCTTCCATTAGGAATTGCGGGAACACGTCAGCGTGTGGGTGGTCAACGGCCGTAGCAGAGGCGTCGGCTTCTGAAGTGATGTTCCTGGCGAGAGTCGGTCACGAAAAAGCTAAAATTACTCGTTTTTTAAGAAGGGTTGTTAATATTAACTTTCATGAACCGATATGTACATCTCAGGAAAACGTTGAACATTTTCTTCCAGGTAATAACATTTTATTTTTAGAACCAGCGAAATATGGAAATATAAATATGATTATTGTAGAAATATGTTGTTCACGTTATTCCCACATTCCACATGAGTCGTCAAATCATAAATTCAGAAGGAGGAAGGAAAAAATCAAAGATTCAATCATATACGAGCATCAGTATCAATCACGGCATTACACAAAAGGGCAAAAAATTACCATGTTTCAGTCTTGGCTGTTCGCACTTTCCTCAGACCCACACCCCGATGATGAGGCCGTACATGCACCGGTGCCACCATGTCGCTCCAGCCGTGCCATTCTTCATGAGACTCTGAGTCGCCGACGCTGGAAGGACCCATACCATCGGCTCCTGCCGCAGCCAGAGGGCGCTGCGTTGGTGGTCGAGCGTTCACCGCTGCTAACTTCGACGACGCGTCGTCTGAGCAATACTTCTCAGAGTGGCGTCGCATCTCTTCCTGAATTAACACGAAAAGAATTTTCAGAAGGAAAGTTCGTTAAAGTATGATATTGTGTTACACACGCTATAAGATCTATCTGGATAAAAATTTCAGGTTAACCTGCTCGGCTGAAAGAAAATCTTTAATTATTCGAGCGAACAAAAAATTCTCAAAGTTTTGAAGTATGGAAGAATGTGGTATATCATGACTTCTCGAACTGAAACTGATGCTAACGTCAATAATTCATGCATGTATGAAGCCGAGACCGAAGTATGTACATTTATTTTTGATAAAACAGTTAGAGAGTTTTTGAACAGTTAGAGTTTTTGAAAGATCAATATGCTACCAGCAGTTCTCCTGCTATATGCTATTTATGAAATATGAAAGGTGGTAAATGGATAAACAATGAAAAGCCAAGAATTAGGTTTTTAGGAAGCATACTTGCTGGCGCTTGTGTTCTTCAGGGTCGTGTATTTTAGGGAACTGGAAGGCACAGCAGTGGTAGCTGTAGGTGAGCTCTGCGCGGTGAATGCCTTTGAAGGAGTACACTGAGGGGAAGGTTCTGAGCGAGAACGTGTCGACCAGAATCAGTGATTCCAGAGACTCCAGACCAACGGTCGGCAGGGACGTAATGGCCGTTCCAGACAAATCCCTGTGGTGGAGACAAGACTCAGGTATTAGTATCTTTTTTTTTTATTTTTCATGCTAAAATAAAATAATTGAGTGACTATAAAATTATTGAATGCAAGGATCTTTTTAAAATCATACCAGTTTCAGCAAGGTAAAGTTAAGCATTTCTAACAAACCCTTGCACGGAATTCATGACATTTTGAAAAGCAAGTTATTGAGCTATTGCATCACGCTTTAAGAAATAGATTTACTGCTGAAGCCGTTACTTTGATTAAAAAATGTAAGTGCAATTTTTGAGAGTGAAAGTAAATTTCAGCGCTTAGTTTCAATAATATTACGGATCCAAAGTTCGATGACATGTTGTGTAATTATATTCTAAGTGTTATTCCAGCTGTATTAATTATTAGCACAGAGTTCAAACTATTCAAATTTGCTACATTTGCTATAAAAGATCTCCTGCATTTTCCCAAACACAGTGAACTGATGAAGCAATAACAACATTTGAAGCGGCACTGTTTACCCGGCATTTTACGTGCACCGAATTGGTTAAAATTGCCGCACTGATTTGGAAGTTACAATATTTTATAATTTACATGTCACACGATATTATTATTTACTACATCCCGATCTTCAATTGCTGAAAAACAGACTGAAACAGCTACATCGACCAAAACAGACAGCCGAGTGGAAGGAAAAACGAACTTTAAGAACAACCGACAATTTTAATGGTTGATAAAGGATGTTCATTTGAAAAACGTTCATTTGAAAAACGAAACTCTCTGAAAACGAAATGCATAATTCGTAAATTTCTTAAGCTGTACAAAAAAATCAAGTGTTTCAATGACGAAAATTGGGCATAAGTGAGTCAAAATTGCATAATACACAATTTTGTAAATATTTTCACCTCATTCCAGCAAAATTGGAATGTATTCATGAGAAGTTTAGTCACCTTAATGAAATATAAGCGTTCTAGATTTAAAGGAAACTCAACCTACATAGACGTGCATTTTTACTAATATTTGCATTTGTTAAAACACTTTACATTTACATTTGTTCAACCCATTGTAAATCGATTACGATTTCTATTTTCTATTAAATTTCTTAAATTTCTATTAAATTTAAGCGATCTAGATTTAAGGGAAACTCAACCTACAAATATACGCATTTTTTTACTAATATTTACATTTATTCAACCCCTCTGAAAAACGTAAACGATTTTCATCAATGATTTATTCATGTAAATTATAATTATTTTTCCATTCGCAAAAGATGATCACCGCTTTTAATTGTCTATAAGATAGAGCGTTATATTGATTGTCATTCAAATTCTGCATTCTCGCGGCGGCTTTACAATATATTTGAATTCTTGGATGCAATGTTCAGCAATTTTTTCAACGTCAGATGAAATTGTCTCAATAAATCGAGTATCGCAGAACGCCCGGCAATTGTTAACATTAGAGTGACGAATCTTTTCCATGGCCGATGGCGGCGAACTTGTCGAACGTCTTGGGTGCGGTACAGACAATATATAATAATAAGACAATATAATGCAGACAATATAATATATATAATAATACGGTATAATGCAATATATAATAATACGGTGCAGACAATATAATAAAGAATAAGAAGAAATGAGCGTACTTACCTTTATTGTTGGTGGTAATGCAAGAATAAATTATATTTCAAATAATTTATTACCTATGATCCAAACGATATAATGTCTTTGTAAAAATATGACTTTTTTACAGACCTTAGTTTTTAGACTTGTTTTGGTCAGTTTTAGAACAAAGCTTGACTCAGCTGATGTCCACAATATTCGTAACCAGAAATAAGCTGCTGGATCAATGAACTAATGAAAAACTCCGCAGCGCCAGCCGATTAATTAACCGACCACGTTCCAAATAACCTTATTTTGAGCAGTGAACGCTCCGTGTGACCTCATATCGAGCAGTTAGTATTGCGTCATTTTGAGCGGTCCCTGTGACCTCATTTTGAGCAGCTAACTCTCGTGTGGACAAATTTATTCAATGGCTACTTATATTTTTAAAAATGTGTTCATAGTAGGCATAAAACTGGGTTTAAAATCTCTTAAGACTTCGTTCAGATGATGGACAGTCTTGCACCCCCCGCCTCCCGATTGGCGCTGGCATCTCATTTTGGATCCATTCTAAGCCAGCGCTCTACATCAGAACGTGCGAGAGGCCGTCGACAGATCTAATGGTCTCCTGCTTTTGAAAGTGAAGGAAGTGTTCTTATCTTAAAAAAGGCTCGAGCTTATGACTAATAGATTTTCATTGGTGCATGGTTTTGGAAGCAAATGAGAATCGAGAAAATTTTCGTACTCGCTGTTCGTTTGACTACGAATTAAAAACTTATAGAAAATACCGGATAGAATCGGGCATAAAACATCGTTAATATTTAAAACCCTAAATTTCATACCGTTTTAATTTTTATCACAATTCCTGGTAATAGAATCGCAAATCTTGGATGCGCACAAGGCAGCTTGAAAAGTTCTGCTAGATTTATTATTTCGCGGTTCAGGGCAGAGCGTCAGCTGCGCCTGAAACGCAACCACTTCCAAGCTGAAAGAAACGCTTAGCCGAAAACAAATCGCCTTTGAACCGTCGGCAAAATGTTTATTTCAAGTGTGCATATAAACGTGATACCCTATCATGAAGGAATTCGTTACAAGTAATTGAATTCAGGAATCATTTATCAGTTCGTTAGAGCGAGTGCGAATGGTGAAGAACATTAATATGAATATGACTGAACATCTGTCGAATAGTCTGAACTGTGCTACTTCTAATATTTCGAACGATTGTGGTGAAAATCATCACAGATAATTCAAAATAACTGGTTGATGGATCAGAAAATTAGAAGGGGCTCATAACAGAAAATTCCTTAAATTTATGAGCATTCGCTGGTGCTTTTGTAGAAAAATGTATATATCAGCAATATTTATTAAATCAAATTTTAGTGCCATTGCTTCGATTTGCGCATTAGGTGCGTTTATGAAAAAGTTTCTTGGAATCTTGGAATATTTGGAATCTTAATGCTTCCTAGTACTTGATTTGCTATTTTTTAAATCTAATTTTGCGTGTTTACACATTTCCACGCGAAATAAGTAGATTAGATTACCAACATTCATTATAAATCTTATTATACATTGATAGCTAAACGGCATTTGCAAATAGTCCCTGTAAAATGTTAATAGAGTTGTGGAGCAACGAAACGGCTCAGTGTTGACAGACACGAACCAAAAGCAAGAAGCAAAACATTCAGTGGAAAAATTTAAAATTTTCTAGGTCAAGGGGACACAAAAACACATAAAAACACAAGTGATAAAAAAAGGTCCAAGCCAATGTAAAAAGTGATTTACTATCTATTTAAAAAAGTATGCCATGTAAATCTAAACGATGGTAGATTGTTCAGTTGCTTGAGTAAGGTTGGGTCTGGCGCCCGCGCTTCTGGCGCAATAAAATGTTTTTAGGAGAAATTTGTGCAAAAGGCGCCTAGCTGCGTATTTATTAGCAGACCTTAAGAGCGAGCATCACTAGTGTTTGTACGAGCCTAGCTCGAGACTTCCAGACGTGTGAAACCGAAGTTTTAAACGGACCGACATTATAACTATACCATCTTCATAACAATAGCGACCTTTACAAGCAATATTGATATGTGTATCTATGATAGAATCAATGCGATGATATGCAGCTAACGGAGTAGAACTAAGAATTTGCGAACAATGCAACGTGTTCTAATAGCTACAGCATTGAAATTAAATTCAAATGTACTTGCAGAACAAAAAAATTAGTGAAGCAGCAAGAAGGATAATGTAATTGGCCATGGTAATTGCCTACGTTGGCGAGCATTAAATGAATGTTTTCTATTCGATGAATCACAAATGCTGATATCTTCCACCACGAGAGTTGGAATCGTGGACGTAAACTTTTTAGCGAATTTTCTCATTTATGGAAAAAAGGCGCTATTGTGCTCGTCATGTCCGTCCGTCCGTCCGTCTGTCCGTGACTTCACGTTTTCGTCGATTTTGAGAAAATGCGCTCTCTGTCCCTCACTGCAGTGAGTACTGAGTTGTATTTTTTCCTGTGAGCCTAATAGTATCAGGATTAAGAATAATAAAAAAAACAAAATTCGTTAAAAATACGTCATTTTAAGAAATTTTACTCACAGCGTCCGGAGACTGCGAAGTCCAGCGAAGGCCAAAGGATGGAGGCGCGTCAAGCGGCGGTTGTTCCTCAGGCTTCTGAAATACGAAGTTAGCCGCTGCTGGTGCATTAAAAATATTATTATTTATGTTCATTATCATTTGAAATACTGATGGATGTTAATGAAGAAATTAAAAATATTTAAACTCGGAGAGCCCATGAGTGAAATAACAGTAGTAAATTAAAATTTAAATAAAATACTAATAGAGAGCAGAACTTTTCTTTCTGAACGTATGGTACATGCATAATGATTATCTGTCGGGTATTAGATTTGTCTAAACTTTGATATGGTTACGGAGGGACTTTCTGGCTCGAAATTTTGGTGTTGTATCATATTTACGTGCATTATGTATCTATGTATGTCCAACAAAGTTTCATTATTCATTGCTTCTTTTTGCATGAAAATTAATGTTTTAGATTCGAAACGCTGTTAATTCATTATTATTATTTGCTAACCTGCCTCTTGATCTACCAACGTCATCTAAAGAATTGGTGAACTCTTTGAAAATTATAAAGTGTTTTCTAATCATTGTATAAATACTCGTACGCCTGTAAATTGCACACTCAGCTTGATATTTCTCAATGCCTCCAGGTAAATACGAAATATAAAGATGAGAATTACGTCAAAATATGTTTTATATGTTATATAGAATAGAATATGTTCGGCACTAGTATCACTTTCATCATTAGTTTATATTGCGAGTTACGAAAAGTAAGGCAACTTGAACTCTAGGGGGGCGAAAAAAAATTATTTGCTTTATATTTTCGGCCATTTTCGTAAAACAATATATATTTAGGCATGGTCGCGATTGTTAGCCATTTAGATTAGAGTTTTCAGCATGCAAATCGCGTGGAAAAAGTCGTAAACGTGCATGCTTTTTGCCAGGTTTTCAAATCCACTGAGACTGAGAGTGCGGTCTGATGATAATTGCTATGAGCTCAAACACAGCCACATTTGCCGTACACCAAGACTATGAGGCAACCGGTCTTGAGTGCTTTATGGAAGAAAACAGCTCTATATTATAATTTTAATACTCTGCATTTCTGCAGGTGGAGGAAGTCTCTGCATAATTGCCGCTCATTAGATTAAATTGAATTGAACATAGTTGCTCTGCACAAGCATTGGGCTCGAAAAAGCAATGCTTGCGGTAAGGATTGCTTTTGAGCTCATTTGATAAATTTGCTGAAGGAAGGAAGCTCTATTGCAGGAAAGTCTTGCATTGTTCGCCTATGGAAGAAAGGAGCTCGGGTGTTGAGCATGTCAGTTGAAGATGACGCTGATGGCAGAATAGACGTCACCAAATAAGAGAAAGCACAACGCCTTTTGCATGTAAGATGAAAACTTTGGCGGATATTTTTGAATGCAAAATATTAAAAAGAAATTTGCTTACTTTCAGCCTTGAAAGGCAGCAGCTCTCGAGAATATTTCGTTAAAATTTAGCGCAGGATGTCGAATTTGAACAGTAATTTATTTACAATACTAATTAAAAAAATAAACATTGACTTTATTCTGAGAAAAAATTTCATACGCATTCAGAAAAGCAGGATGAGAGTTTTAACGACATTTCTAGCTACCTTTAACAACGAAAATTTTTCTAAGAGCTTATTGTTCCAAAGAGCTCATTTTCCCACCGAGTCATGAGTGCACGTCTGACGAACGAATACTCACAGTTTACCAAATTCGGAGCCCAGGAACTCATTTTCGTCGATGCTTTTGAGTCCGTTGTTTGTTAGGAGCCTGAGAAAGGGAAGGAGAAGCTCGGTATATTTTGAGGTTGCCGGCTGGAAACGATGTTGAACGTTTCATGCCATTAGACAAAATTTCAAGCCAGAAATGGCTCAAGAAAACATAGACTGTCGGAGAGGAAACATTCAGAGCTGATAGAACACCGATCAGTAGGGAACTATCTTGACTTGAACGTAAAATAGGATATAAAAGAGCTAAATCTTTAGCTATATATATTTAATGAAAATGTTAGCAATAAAGAATAAATTTAAACTATGAAACGTTTGCACAAAAAGAATTCTTACTCCGACAAATTTGTTGAGATATCTGAACAATTATATTTCAGGTGATTAGTAGCAAATCATTATCAACAATAAGTGTTTAGAAATCCTGCACATTTGGGAAACAATTACTAGTGTAAACCTGATATATATACGTATATGGGAGCGATACTATCAATCTTTAAAGCAAATTATTGATTCATATGACGTTTGATATTGAGAATTAGAAAATAACCCTCGGGTTCCTGCTCTATTTGTTTAAACATGGTTGCCTTAATCATTTCTAATCTTACATAGACAAGTCCGTACCAGTCAACACGATTTCTGATATAAATGCGTACAAAGAAGAGCAATATTAAGGCCGCCTGACACCAGCCAGTCAGGCTGGTGCCGGTGCCACGGCCGGTCTAGAATATCAATCAAATAACCTGGACACGCCACGTCTAGTGAAGCGTCTCTCTTTAGGAAATTGCTGCTCATTGATTTCATATTAATTGTCTTTTTATACTGGAGATATATGATCGATAAAAGAAATACAGTGCTTAAAATGCGATAAATTAGTTATCTGATTAGTAGAAGACACTTTTATGATGCATATTATATGATTTTAAGCGAATTTATGATATTCTACAAGCATCGACTCATTCAATTGATGTCAGTCTACTATAAATCTGAGTGAGATATGACGATAAAAATTGTAAGAAGCTCTAAATTTAGAAACGGAACTCAAATTTTTGTTTTAACTAGAATTCAGAGTTAATTAACGAACAGTCAACTAATCTATACTTGAATAACGTTGTGACCTGTTCAAAGGTGAAACATTCAGCACGATCTTGAAAATATCATTGTGGCAGGTTAATTACAATTACATCTGGTAAAGTGCGTAAACTGCTAAACACTCTGGCCAGACGATAGGTTAATATAATGGTGATGGTATCATCAGAGCCATTCGTCACTGCCAGGGCAGAGCTATAGCGAGACTAACGGCAGTTCTTGGTGCTAGTTAGAACTCACAGCTGTTCGGCCATCACAGAACGGAAGCGATGCTCCAGGCGGGACATCTTGAAGTTCCTCTCGAGGTCTCTGTACAAGACGAAAACTGGATTAATCATTATTAAACAACTTGAAAAAGAGGAAATGGTAAAAATTCATGTAAAATTGGATTAATCTATGTTATTGATAAATAAAACAGTAATAAAAGAGGGAAATGACACACAATCTATACGTTGTCTAGGCCTGTGAGTGAACTCGTTCAAATGAGAACTTAAAAGAAACAGTTTCCAGGAACCAAACATGACAATGTGAACATGCTGACTTTCAACTTTTAGCTAATTAATACATTTTGCAATTTGTTCCTGAGTAAAATAGGTTTGCATAAAATACATAATGTTCTGTATTTCTGGTTTACAATAATAAAAAATTCAATCAAAATAGTTTTTGGACTTGACAAAAAACTTAATCTTCATCAAGGCTGCCTATGTATTCAAACAACCAGAAATTTGGAACAAACATACATATTAAAAATCTGACGAAATAACAAAAAAACTGATAAAACATGAGAAGAAAAGTTAGCAATACTATTCAACTGCACGATGTCAAAGTCACTGAAATGGAAGGGTGACAACAAAAGACAGTTCGATGAGTGTTGATTTTCCTCAAAGGGTGAAGTCTGACTGAGGTCGTCAACATTTTTTCCCCCTTTCACAGCCTGTGAAACTTTTGTGCCTGTCACGGTCGAAGGTGAATGCTATCCTTCGATCACGTGTCTAAAATCAATAAATTAATACCAGTGAATTTTATTGTGTGATTTAAAAGAAGATGTAACCTCTCCACATCGCATCACATATTATAATAAATTCCCGAGAAATTTAAAAGCGAAGAAAACTCCACAAAAATTCAGCATTTCTCTGTTGAAAACGTGAATACGTTTCGTTTGAAACGTGAAGAAAACGTTTCAATAGAGAAATGCTGAATTTTTGTGGAGTTTTCTTCGCTTTTAAATTTCTAGTGAATCTGCGATTCAAGCAATTTAGTGACATTATTACTTGTGTTCGATCAAAATAAATTTCCGATTACAGGGATTAGTTGAACTTAACGCAAGCAGTCATTGGAGTAGCTAAAAAAGTCAGATCCCATGCATCACACAATTTTTCGATCCATGTATTCATCGAAGCTTTCGGAACAGATTAGACAGAAAGAAACGAGTCAATCAATAATCATTCAATTTGGTTTAGGTTGAATTCAATCAAACAACCTGCGAGCAAACACAAATAATTTAAGTACGTGATCGCATAAAAACATTGAAGAAGATGCGAAGAAGAAAAAAATTACGAAGAAGATGCAAGTAAGGAAACTATGGAAATTTCATCGCAATTTCAAGCAATGTTCAGCATTTTAACGAAAGTTCAAACGCAACTAAAAAGTTTAATTATTAATTTTATTGAATTTAAAAACAGTGGAAGTCTCATCGCGCAAAAGAATGCATAATTTTGCCCGATGTATCGATACTGTTGTTAAAGAATTGCTGATTTCTCTCGTGCAAAATGTGTTCGAGTCTCTGTGATTTTGAGTAATTTTAGACAAATGAGAAGGTCAACTTATTGAACAATGAATAAATTTCAGAAAAAATTGCTTTTTAAAATCAATACCAAGAGCTATGAAGCTTACAGCATTAGTAATTCAGCCAGATTGGCGATTTAGACGCCTTGATATTAAGACGAGTCAAGCTCAAGAACCTAAGATTCTTTGTGTAATTAAGAAGAATTCAACTCATATAACCTATTTTATGTCGTGTAAATAAGACGATTTAAGCTCTGAAAAGCTAAGATACTTAGTGTAAGAGTCAAGTTCGTAGAACCAAAGAGGCATCGTGGAATTGAAACAATTTTGAATTTTAAGATTTTCGCTGTGTATGAGGAACATTTTTGAAGTTCCCAGAACCTAAGAAGTGTCGTGTAATTAAGACAATTATTTGAATAATAAATACCAAATACTCATCAGCATTATTCCACTAGGTATTCTTAAAAAAATCAATTCAAACTTGGAATATTTTACACGCTAGACATATCATCACACCTGAATTTGCGAACAATATATTATTTCACGCTCGTCATTATCATGATCAAATGAAACAGATAGAGCCAAGGCATCCACTTCCTGACCTTGATCGACGGTACGCATTATATATGAGTTATATTAATGATCTGAGTTATATTAATGATCTGAGTTATATTAATGATCTAAGTTGTATTAATGAGGCTCGAGAAGCCGGCGCTGTGTCACTCAACACGCGCAACACTCAGCATTTCTAGCCATCATCGCTCACTCTACTCTCCCTATTTTACCAGTGATCAAACAATAATGTCGTTATAAGGGACATAAATCAAATTAGAATTACTATTGCCTTGAGAGGCAATAGTAATTTTATATGTTATATATAACTATTTGAATTTTTGGAACGTAAGTTTACTTTAGAATTTACGAAAAATAGAATACGGAAAGCGAATGTAATTGGGATATTGTTGTGCGTTGTGAAGCCAGAGCGGAGGTGCATGAATTGAGCAATGCCAAGATGTGCTGTGAACTGGTGGAGTATGGATTGGTGATTTTTCTAAGAATTTCGAATAATAATGTAATTATATCGTTCATTAAACGCCGAGTGGAAAGTTTAATGACCTTTTTTTAATGTATGAAATATTAAATATGTACAGAAATGGTGTGAAAAGCATCAATAAACTTTAAATAGAATCTCTAACTGCATGCGAACAATTGTTACATATTATACAAAATGATCTCCCAATTAATAAGTATACACTTTTATGACGAGTTGGACTTACATGGAATGAAAGATCGAGGACGAGCGAGTGACGGCAGTGGGGGCGACCGCAGCAGAGAACTGCAGCCCGGTCTCCACGATGCGTCTGAAGGCGCAAGAGAGCTCATGCAAGTCAGAGCCATGTACGTATATGTAATCGTTCTTTACGGTGATAAATATTCTAAATTTAAGATATATAGCTTCGATGTATATTCTTGCAAATACATTGTATAAATATATGAATCAAGTTAGTGCCATGAACGTGTTTGTAATCGATCTTTACGGTGATAAATATTCTAAATTTAAGATATATAGTTTCGATGTATATTCTGGCAAATACATTGTATAAATATATGAATCAAGTCAGTGCCATGTACTTGTAAGTAATCGTTCTTCACGGTGATAAATATTCTAAATTCAAGAATATGGCTTCGATGTATATTCTTGCAAATACATTGTATAAATATATGAATCAAGTTAGTGCCATGAACGTGCATGTAATCCTTCTTAAGGTGATAAATATTCGAAATTCAAGAATATGGCCTCGATGTACATTCTTGCAAATACATTGTATACATATATGAAAGTTTTTCCTAAATTTATCGGATTGAAGTTGCAGTAAAGTGTAATGTAGTTGCATAATGGTGAATAATAAATTGATCAACAATTGAGTGTTTTATAATTGCGGCTGACGCATGGCGACTGAATTGAAACATTGTTTTCGTTTAAGCAAACCAATGTGATCGAGCATGGCGGTTTATAAGCCATTTGCGAGCTCACAAAAAATGTTCTAAAGCATCAAATTGGCGAACACTTAAAAAATGTTCAGCTTCGAAAAAAAGATATTATACTTCAAAATCGTCGCTGGGATCGTCTTGTGCGCTAAATTTAACTCCATTCAAAAAACTTATGTTCCTGTATTATTTTGTTTCATCTTTTGGTGTCATCATTTTATCATTTTTTGCGATGCCGATCAAAATGTGAGCATGCTTGTATAAGAGACCCAGAATAAATTAAACCATTGACTAGAAAACAAAATCTTCACATTTTTAGCGCTCTCTAACCCGAACTTTAAAGAAACTGAACGTTCTCTAGTGTAGTTCCCAGATACATTACTTCCAGTTGAGTAGTTTTTACAGCGTGTGGAGCTTGCAACCTCAGTTGACCTGGGCCTATACTTTCAAAAAAAGTTAAGAGATCGTAAGTTCATCAGCCAATCATTGACGGCCTTTCAAGCCACTCTTTTAAAAACAGTTAAGAGATCGTAAGTTCATCAGCCAATCATTGACGGCCTTTCAAGCAAAATCCACCAACCATAGACAAGAAAATAGAGCGTAAGTACTTACGTTCACTTAGCGAGTTTTGAGAGTACAGGCCCTGGAGTGAGAAGTTTGCAGCATGGAGCGTGCTACCTCAGTTGACCTGCGAGTGAGAAGTTCGCAGCAACTTTGTTTGCCTCCGAGCCTCGGCCTCAAGCAAGCTTTGTTATTGATTCTATGCAGCAGCTCACGCTTTACCGACTCTTAAGATTGTGAGCCAAGATCCGCGAAATTATGGCATTAAATTGTCGCAGTATTTCTCGATGCAGGATATTGCGGAAAATGGATGCAGAAGCCCAAACTTACAATACAGAGCTCCGCCTGAAAGTTCTTCGAGGACTACCAAAGTCTTATAACTCAGGTCAAGCAACTCGCTGCCAACGAACTTGAACCTGAGATGCATATCTATACAACCTGTATCCTTTACAATTATATTTGTGTGATGGAAATACAAATAAATAGTAAAAAGTGCAAGTGACCTCATCGAACATAATGTGTATGTATTTTTAGCACATTTTCTCATTTATGGAAAAAATGCACTATTGTGCTCGCCATGTCCGTCTGTCCATCCGTATGTCCGTCTGTCCGTCCGTCCGTGACTTCACGATTTCGTCGACGAGAAAATGCGCTCTCTGTCACTCACTGTAGTGAGTACTGAGTTATATTTTTATTATTGTTTATTGGATTGTGATTATCACTCTATAGTGCCACAGTGAAATGAACACTCCGACAAAATGATTGGGGCGAAGTGACCTGCTAGTAAATTTGTGCAAGTAGCAGTAATAAGCATTGCTGCTGTACAGAAATGAGTCAGGATGACACACATATGGGTAAAAAAGCGCATCACCTTTTGGACAAAGTCTCGCATATTTCTTTGAGTGAATTTTGAAACATGCGTCATAAACTAGAAGAAATCCAGCGGATTTCATTCATCAGCCGCATTTAAATATTCGTCTTGGTATTCAGTATTGATAAAAACCATACCCATTATGCAGCTAAAGACCCGAATCGAATTATATCAAGTATTACTTGCAAAGGTGGATGGGTATTTCATGTTAAATTACTTATTATTTGACAATAAAATTGCACAAAATGTCGTGCACTTATTATTCCTGGAGTAAGCTAAAAATAATTCAACATCAGGCAATATAAATTCCCTATTTAAATAAAATTTAAGTCTCCAGCGATTCATGAGGATATTTAATGGACTTAATTAAACGCGAAAAAAAGCAAGCGGCGCTCTGCGGCAACAAGCCTCGACACACAAAAAGATACTAGACATTTTTTGTCAATTAGCGCCAGCTCCATACTAATGCTCCTGCACCAGCTCCATACCAATGCTCTGCGCCAGCTCCATACCAATGCTCTGCGCCAGCTCCATACCAATGCTCTGCGCCAGCTCCATACCAATGTCCATGCGTTGCATGTGATCGGTGAAGTTCATCCCAAACCACTATGATATTTTGCAAAATAATGTAACTACACCCCCATTTTTTTTAATCTAAAAAATACACAGAAATATATCAGATCATTTTACGTTTCAAACTCATTTTATGATTCCAGCAAATGTAGCCTATTTATTCCCAATTCGCGCCTATTTATCATTCGTCTAGCATTCGTATGCTGTCTAATGTTGGATGCCGCTGCATGCCTTCATTTAATTTGAAGTGTACAGCTGCTTTAAACTGTGAATGAAAAATAAACAAGTCTTCTATGTTATATTATGTAAATTCAAGCGCATCCATAAATTAGATAAGTGTCGTTTGAGCATAGAACAAAGGCTAATTATGTTTTGCTGAGCGCTTGCGTTTGCTACTCAATATGGAGCATAGCACTCTGAATAATAATTTCATTAATTACTCAGAGTAATAAAGTGGTATAAAATGTCAATGATAAATTTGCAATTGATGCAATATTAACTCGTCAAGTACATATTTGTTCAATGCATGTAGGTTTATTTGAAAATGAAAATAAAGTAAGATTCGACAGTAATTATATCTAAAATATAAGTTTTGGAATGCCGTGGTATTTCTGTTGACTATAGTATCAGTCTTTTTAAAAAGACTTCATAGGCTAACAGCGATTCAACCCTGACCGCCATGCTTCCAACGTAATTTGTTTGGAAGACAACGGATGAAAACTTGGGATGAATTCTTAACAAAAAATAAGAAGCTTTAAAACGTAGTTCTGTAAAAATAGGACTGCATTCCTTGTAGGCAGAGCAGGTCTGAAAATATTCAGTAGGATAATGTATTCAGAAACTGGAAGAAAATGTGGCGGACATCTGAAAGGCTCTCAAAAAAAAGTACTTTTCAGCCAGTTTTTCGGAGCTATTGCAGAATAAAGTTGAACACTGGCATGAGAATTTGGTCATATGATGCCAGAAGATAGAAGAATCAAATTTTCTCTTCAATTTTGTGTTCATATTTGAAAAGGACAAATAAAAAGTATGAGACAGTCACGAATCACTACGTAATTCCTCGAATTGACGTAGCTACATACACTTTTTGTGTGGGGCAAAAATACGGAGTTTGACGGAATAAGAAAATTCTTTTCTCAAATTCTTTAAAAAAAATCATATAGCTGACTCAAAGCCGGGCATTCAAAGGCAAGCGTTTTCTAATTTTCGCAACGAGCTCTGAATCTTGACCAACACGAAACTTCTTGTCCATAAATGTCATAAATGATGTCATAAAGATGGAATTCATGTCTTCATGGGCGAAATTCAAGTCCTTATTGCCTCTTCCCGACCCATTTCTCCCGATTCTCGGCAGTCAAATATTGGGAGATGTTTATAGCAGACTGAAAGAAATGGGCGGGTCTGGATGACCCACTTTGATTAGTCAACCGCGTCCGAAAATTGATGCACTTTTTTGACTCACTTGCCCCATTTGTGGGTCATACTGACCCATTAAATTTCAAGCATGACTCACTTGTGGCGTTAAATCGCTCTGACGCCCAGATGCTAACTACGTATCCATGCTACGGGCGGCGTCATAAGGGATTTGACGTCACAAGTGAGTCATGCCTGGAATTTAATGGGTCAGTATGACCCACAAATGGGGCAAGTGAGTCAAAAAAGTGCATCGATTTTCGGACGCGGTTGACTCTTCAAAGTGGGTCATCCAGACCCGCCCATTTCTCTCAGTGCAGTCGTCGTCTTCTGAGATTTACAGGAAGAGTTCTGAGCGTCACCACCAGATGTCAACACAGCCCCACTAACTTGAGCCAAAAATTTGGCACACAAAGGAGCCTTTGCGATTAAAGTAATAGAAAAGAAGTGTAGGCACTGAAGAAATAGGCCCATGGCCTAAATGCCGCGTAAAAATTGCACACACAACTCCACGGTAAGATTATTGACTTAGGCATTTCTTCAAACTTGCTAGAAAAGAAGTGGCGGCACTGAAGAAATAGGCCCATGGCCTAAATGCAGCGTAAAATTTGCACACACAACTTCACGGTAAGATTATTGACTTAGGCATTTCTTCAAACTTGCTCCAACGTTGATGTGATAAGCAAAGTTTGATTGAATGGCAATACAGTGCCGATAACGAAAAGTACAGTCATTGAGCTACATGATTTGAATATCTTATTCTGTTCAGATAATACATTTAGGTAATAATCTAGAAATAATTTGATTGAAATCGTGAAATTATCTTTTAAGCTCGAACCTTGTTGACTGATCAATATAAGGGGCAATTAATAAACACATTACATAATTACCTAAAATTATTTTATCATGAAATGCACTGGGAAAATGTAAATGAATTTCACGGGTTATTTTGATGCATAGTAGACAAACATAATCTAGAGCACAAATTAACCATGGAGATGCAACTCCTCATCTATACACTCGTTCCTCAGAACCGATTCTATTTGCTAATGACCCGTAGCGAAGCAAAAGTTCAATGCCGATAGAACAGGAAGCCTGGAAATATCCAATCAAATATGAATTGAAATAAGAGCGCTCTCAATGGCAAAGATAAATTCAACTAAGTCATTGTCTATTCAGAATAGAATTTCTTCGTAAGAAACAGGGAGGGGGCCTGGATTTGGGATGGAATTCATGAAAAAAATGGAATTCATCAAATCCCCCCCCTGGACAAATCCAGGGAGGGGGCCTGGATTTGGTCACATCCTCACCTGCTTTGTTGTTTGATTTACTAACGTATTAATTGCTAATTTGGTCGAGCGTACCATCACTAAGCGAGCTAATATGGAGCCTTCAACCTGGTTATTAAGCAGTTAATTAGGCGATCGCATGAATGCAATAGAAACAATTCAGAGAGCATCTGTTGCATGCAATAATGAGGGTAATAATAAATTTCAATTGGCTATCCGTCATTTTCTGCACCTTCACGGAAAGGTCACGATAAAATTTAAACGAAAGGTAAATGCTGGAAATTATCCGGAATATTTATAAACAACCAATCAAAGCAAAAAAAGTAAACAAACGTATAGCAGTACTAACAATGTCACGCAATTGTACACCACGCGCAAATAGAAGAAAAGGTTTCGAATCATTTGGTCAATTGCGCATCATTTGCGCCAGAATTTTGAATATTTTTTTTTGAAGCAATAACTTGGCTCGGAAAAAAGCCTACTAATGTGTATACACAAACCATCGAACCCGGTATACAATAATATTGCCTTGAAAATAAATAAAAAATATAACTCAGTACTCACTGCAGTGAGTGACAGAGCGCATTTTTTCGTCGACGAAAACGTGAAGTCACGGACGGACAGACGGACGGACGGACGAACGGACGGACATGGCGAGCACAATAGCGCCTTTTTTCCATAAATGAGAAAATGCGCTAAAATGGACTAAAAGATAAATAACATTTAAGCGAAATAAGGCATAGAGCCAGCCGCTCTGTCCACTCACAGCACAGTCAATCTGGGCAGGGACGTCAAGAGATGATAAACGGGGACCACGCAGAGACGAGGAGCGTGTTGGATCTCCCTGCAACAGAACAAATGCCATGTCACGGGAACGTGTAATACTTCATTAGAGTTAATATACTTGCCTTACTTCTATGTAGTTGCATAATTTCGTAATTCTATCGCGTCAAGATAATCGGCACGAGCAAGTTCAATTCATCTAAAATTTTACAGAAATTAATTGACGCAAACTTAAAACAACTAAATTTCATCTAATTTAAACTTTGCGGTCAAATCACCTCGAAACAATGGATGAGAAATAGTTTAGCAAACAATTAAAAGGGAACGCTGGTTTTCAATACTAAGACAGAGCTTGTAACCAATCATATCAAAATTAAGTTTCTCCCAGCCATATCAGAACTCCACTTTAAATCGAAATATTTGAATTCGCAATGTAATTCTGAACGGGGACAGATTTTCTTGGTCAAGTCCGAGCCAAAGAAATAGCAAGTTTTCGACCACAGCAGAAGAACACCGGGCAGTGCACCACAAACCGCGATACTTTTAACACAAAAAAAAATTCTCGGCACGCTCTCAATGTACGCTGTTTAGGAATGCACATCAAGAGGAGCCACTACTTTCAAATCAGCGGCAAGTAATGCAAGAGGAAGTCATACTCTTTCTTCTGACTTTTGGCATTTGAGGAGAGTCCATGAAGCTGAATAATTTCAACAAAAAAGTAGAGGACATGGAGAACTGCGGTAACAACTTGCTGCTGGAAAGCTGTTAACACTCATGGAGATAAGGATCAATAATGATGTCAGGTGTTGGGTAATGTTTGAATTTATTTTTTATATTTCTAATGTATTGTTCAATAAAATAGGAAAGAAAGGCTGATAAGCAACACAGAAACGAAAGTTTGATAAGGAACATATATCAAATAATTTTGATATTTGTATCATCTTAATTGTTCCACAAAAAAAAAGAAACAAGTCTGACGGTAAATAAATGATATAAAGAACTGACGCAAGAGCCTCATCTTTTCAGCATGAGAGGAAATCGCCACCAGATCGGTGACAGGACGCGGTTTACTTCTGGTAATAGCTGCATTTAATGTTCCATATATAGAGTTGTTATGGGGCGGGCTAGCATACAAAATCTGACGTTTTGCTATGGGGTGGACAAGCTTAGAGAATCCGACGTGTTGCTATGGGGCGGACAAGCTTAGAGAATCCGAATTATTGCTATGGGGCGGACAAGCTTAGAGAATCAGACGTGTTGCTATGAGGTGGAAAAGCTTAGAGAATCCAACGTGTTGCTTTGGGGCGGAAAAGCTTAGAGAATCCGACAAGTTGCTATGGGGCGGACAAGCTTAGAGAATCTGACGTGTTGCTATGGGGCGGACAAGCTTAAAGAATTTGCACGTGTTGCTATGGGGCGGACAAGCTTAGAGAATCCGACGTGTTGCTATGAGGTGGAAAAGCTTAGAGAATCCAACGTGTTGCTATGGGGCGGACAAGCTTAGAGAATCAGACGTGTTGCTATGGGGTGGACAAGCTTAGAGAATCAGACGTGTTGATATGGGGCGGACAAGCTTAGAGAATCAGACGTGTTGCTATGGGGCGGATAAGCTTAGAGAATCCGACGGGTTGCTATGGGACGGACAAGCTTAGAGAATCCGACAAGTTACTTTGGGGCGGAAAAGCTTAGAGAATGCGACTCTTTGCTTTGGAGCAGGAAAGCTTAGTGAAGACGCTTGCGGTAATCGGCTCAGATCATAGTACCCAGGAATACCCTGACCAGGCTTGGAGGTATACCTTGCATAGGAGGCTTGTCAAGGGGTATAGTTTGATTACCACAAATAACAGAAATAAGAATATTCATGCTACTTGCTACCAGTAAACAAAGGGAGGCAAGTGTCTCGACTACCATCACACAAAAGAAACAGGAATGGCGGCTACATACACATATAGGAAGGCAAAAGTTGTGGCTATCGCACACAAAAGAAAGTAAATATCCCGACTACCGCCACACAAATGAAGGCTAGTATCCTGGCTACCGTTACTACCAGATAGTTTTTTTTTTGGATACCAGATTTTTTTCTACCAGATAGTTGGATATCTTGTGTACCGTAGCTAGCAAAAAGTTAGGAATCCTTAGAACCGCAGCCACTTACAATAATTCCGGAATCCACGTTGCCGTCATTTATAGGAAATGTAGGTATTTTGTGTCCCTCACTCACAGATAAGCCATTGTATAATGGACACAAACACCACTTTCAGGAAGGCAGACAATGAAGGCGCCTGACACTCACAGAGAGACTGGTATCAAGGCTCCGGCAACTCAAATTAATGCAGTTATCCTGTAGATACTGACTGCCACAGACAGAATGCGGGAAACTTGGCTACACCACCACACAGAAACACACACACACACACACACACAGAGGAAGATCCTCACCAGCCTGGGGCCGTATTATCAAAACTTCGTAAGTGCGCAAAATCGACTTACGAGTGGCGTTGCTATGACCAAGTAATACTAGCGGTGGTATTATAAAAACATTTACGCGGGAAAAATTTGCGCGGGAAAAAATTTTATGCTTTTAGCTAAGACTTGCGTACGAAAGTTTTGATAATGCCAAAATTAGGGTGTATTTACGTACCACAGAACTTTTTTGTCGTATGTACATAAAGTTACGAAGTTTTGATAATCCGGTCCCAGGGTCGCATAAAGGAAGACTGGTATCCTGTATTTGCAAGTCATAAGATAGCAGATATATTATATAGCTATAACCACCTCACGCATGAAGGTAAAAGCATTCCCAACGTTACATCCGACGACGACTCGGAGACGGAGGACGACGAAGGCGGCGCATCAGCGTGACCGTGGACTACGACGTCCTAAACTCATCATAAGGTCATAAGGTCAAGGAGTACTCACAGGACTTGTAATGCGATCAGGAAGCGGAGATCCTCTGCTGAGAAGCTCTCCAGTTGCGGCGCCACCACCACGACTCTGTAGCAACACGCAAGATCTAATCATTAATTAACCGTAAAATTCTGCAAATCTTCATAGATAAAAATTACCTAAATAAATAAATACGAGTATGAGCGATCGAATACAAGTACATAAGTAATCAAATTCTAAAGTGAATTTGTTTGGACTGGAAATTAGTTCAAGTTAACTGAAAAACATAATCATGAGGTGAAAATGTCTTTTGTGTGTGAATTGTCATGGTAATATTCAATATGATTTTCTAAATAAACGCATGAGCGCAGGCTCATGACAGTATATATGCAGTTCTGACAAACTGTGAATCAGTAACAAACCCGCCGAGTTTACGGGATTTGGAATTAGTCTCCAGCAGGGCCTATACTTTCAAAAAAAAAGTTAAGAGATCGTAAGTTCATCAGCCAATCATTGGCGGCCTTTCAAGCAAAATCCACCAACTATAGACAAGAAAATAGAGCGTAAGTACTTACGTTCACTTAGTGAGTTTTGAGAGTATGGCCCCTGAAGGAGAATCAATGACGATCGCTAGTGATTCCCCGTAAAGAATCATGTCGCGGTTTCAACGTCTTGCTGTAGTATTTAAACTATTTGTGGTATTATTTGCACGCCTCTCGTCCCATTCCGGGAACTTAAGCAACTATATACCTAAAGTTATTCGAATGTCTGATAGAACACATATTAGGTTCCGAAAAATGGTCATAACTTTTTTCTAGTAATTTACAAAACATTTAAACTTCACGGTAAGAAAATTAGGCATTAACTGAAGTTCGATTGCGGAAAATGTGTCAGTTTACATAGTAATGAAGTGAACTACATTATTCGCTCTTGACTGATTATATTTTTGGTTTACTTTGAATCTCCTCTTCAATAATATGCCTTCACGATCAATATGAGATTAGCTGGGAATTGATTGACTTTGACCGAAATTACTGAATAAGCTTTGCAATCGATGCCGCGGCTGTGAGTCTGAAACATTTGCAAAATGTTGGCCCTCTTGATCAAATTTGTCACATTTCACGTCAGTGTTTGTGCAGGGTCGGCAAAACCAATCAGTTAATTTTGCGTCATGTCTCTGGCGCGGTCCATTTAACAGAAACGTGGGCTTCCGGTCAAGCCAGAGTAGTGCATTCAATTGAACGTTTCTGGATAATTGTGAGGATCATGGATGGCCTTGAAGTCATCGATGAATAAATGACAAAACTTGAACGACTTTTAATGACAAGGGTTCACGTGGATTCAAGACCAGAGAAGTTGCAATTTATTACATACTTTTTAAGTTAACACACAGAACACGAAACACTTACAAACTGAAAATTTCAACATCATTGTTTGATAGCGAAATATCACACAGCTAATGTTTTGTCCGTATTCATAAACTGTCAATGTAATCGATAAAATATGGTCAAATTTTGGGAGGACCGCCCGGAGCTTGGGCCAACGCCAAGGCGTATCATTTTATCAGCGGAACTTTGAGCGAGGAAACAGCACACGTTGAAAGCTAATCGTAGCTAAGGAAAGCAAATGCATGTATTCTTAGAATAATACAGCCTAGTTAAAAGTGGCATCTCTGGGAGCGTGGTGTGCTGAGCCTGAAGCACAGTTATATATACAGAACCTGCATATTGATAAGTCTTATAGCAAATCACCTTCATTTGCTTGATAACTGATGTTGAACATCCAAAAATTGGCTTGACAAATGCACGATCATAGGCAATAAACGGCGCTCAACAATAATATTGCCCAACCAACTAAAAAACTGTCAGTACATACATTAAAATTCAATACATCTCGCCAATAAAATGAGCATATAAAGCCAGAAATAATGTATTGAAAATTTTTCTTAACTGCTACAACGAGAAGCATCGCTTGAGATGTGGGGATAGAAATATTTTGGCTGGAATCCGGCTCGGCAGCGTAGAGAAAATTATTTTCCTAGTTTTTATATCGTTAGGTTCACCGCTAAACATTCATGAAACACTATATTATAACATTTTTTAATATAATCAACAATAATGAGCAGAAGCGTCGAGATGTTTTCCGTTTGGTTGAGTGCGTAGGGTAGCGAGGAGTACACGAGTGCCGAGGCAGTGAGCCATGCGAGCCATTAAAGGAAGCTCTTCAGGGCGACATCAAAGGCAGTGAGCCATGCGAGTCATCAATATTATAACATTTTTTATATAATACACAATAATGAGCAGACAACTTTGGTAAAAGCGTCGAGATGTTTTCCCTTTGGTTGAGTGCGTAGGGTATCGAGGAGTACACGAGTGCCCCATGCGAGTCATCAACAACGGCCACACCACGTTGAAAGCAACGCTTCTCGTCCGATCAGCGAAGTTAAGCAACGTTGGGTCTGGTTAGTACTTGGATGGGTGACCGCCTGGGAACACCAGATGCTGTTGGCTTTTACGTTGAAAGCACCGCTTCTCGTCCGATCAGCGAAGTTAAGCAACGTTGGGTCTGGTTAGTACTTGGATGGGTGAGTCATCAAAGGAAGCTCTTCAAGGCGACATCAAAGGCAAGTGGATTAGACCGTACCGGCATCGTGGCACGTCGCAGCGTTCATGGTTTATGCTTTACATGCATGTTTAATAACATGTCTAACAGGCTTTCATAATATTCAAGTATTTACGCTAGTGGCCTCATGCCTATAATGATCTAATAAAATGTAACTAACAGAGTATTAATGGGATGCAACATGGAGTGTAAGCTTTCTAAGGGGAACAAAATAAAATAAATTCATCTGTATTAGTCGTCAAATGTTCGATTTTAAGTTAATTTTCTATATTTACTCCACCTAAAAACTCATTCTTACTTAGGTTTCCAAATTCTAAAAAAAGTTAATGAGGCATTGATTTTGTTCTCTTCCATTAGCAGTGACATCGATTGAAATTTTTTTTTATTTTTATAATTTATAATGTAGAGACGCGCGTGCATCCAATTCATGAAGTTATAAACGAACAACAAGTAATAATCAATTAAATTTAATTTAGTTTTTTGTACCATCTGATAACGCCAAAATCTCAACTCTATTGCTACCAAACATTCGATTAGTAAATTAGAACTTGATAGTCAGCTTTGTTATATATGCATCTGGGTCGCGTCTCGACCTCGTATCACTCAGGCTACGCTGGCTCTGATGGGAAACTTTATTAAGGAAGTTGACGTTCTAATAACCTGCTTAGAGACTTTTTAGTATAACTTTATTAGGTAAATGATGTTTAAAACTGCACCTTATTTTATTATTTAGTACACATTTTACTGTTTATCTAATATGCAGATAATAATTGTATAACAACTTATTTGTATTTAACACAAAAATTCGAACGCTGAGATTTTTTATGCCTGAAAATACAGGAACTACTACAAAATTTACGAGTGATCAAATTTAAGTGGAAATAATTATAATTTTCCTTTAAACTTCATTGGATTTAGGCTCAGAATACTGATATCTCAACGCCGTTCAAAAACAACTCCTGTAAAAATACATGCTGCCACCGGTGCTCAGCTACCTTTTATTAAGCTTGTTTTTTACTGAAAAATAGAAATCTCATTAGGCCTCAGCTAGAAAAAAAAATTACTCCACTGCTGTAAGAAACGAGTGCCAAGTCTAGGGGAGAACATACTGATCGTAAACCTGTATAGCATCTTCCCGTCACTTATTAGGTTCTGCTCCACCTAAGCTACAGAGCTGTGCAAATTCTGTGGCAATATGTGCAACAATAAATTTACAATCTAGAAACTTGGAATTACGATGATCGAGTTTAGGCTTTTTCTTGAACCCCATAAGAGCGACTTAAGAGTAAAAAGAAAATGTTTGGTCTTCTTTGCATTTTAATGAGCATCGTCACCTTCGTATAATTAATAAAATTGTAAATAGAAAAAAAAGTTGAGTGAAAAAACTCATAAGCTTCATGAATTTACCCTAAACGAGAAGTTGTTATGCAAACGATTTTCTATATAAAAGCCGGATTTTTCTTTTCAAACGCTTTCCTCTTTCCTACTTTACTTTCTGAATTAAAAAATATTTTTTTAAATATTTTTCAACTCTATGGTTCGCAATGCCTGCATTGCTCTAGCTTTAAAGATTTCATTTGGACTTCGGAGATATTTGCACATTTGTTTCCGAGTCCGTCGAACGTGACGCTGGACAGCAACAGATAATAAAGTTGTAAAGAATAATAAACAAATAATAAATCTAGATATTTAGTGCAATGTTAAGCCCATAGTTTGTAAGCCTGGGCTGTATCCAGTCACAAAATCAAGCTTCGATTTTAGCGTCAGTCCCCATTTCTGTTAAGAATTTAGTATGACAACTTGAAGAGATACGCCTGATTCAAAACCAGTATTGCCATGAGATATGTTTCGATTTCATATAATGAATGGTCTCATTTTCTTTAACAAAAATTATACAATGGTTTGGTTTGTGATGGTTTTAATACGTTCATGAAATTCATCTTAGCCAGCCCAGTGAAATATGCAATCAATGTATGAACATTAAAGGAGTTGTAAAATATACAGAAATAAATCCGAATGAAAACGGATCCTGATCGGAATGAATCATTGCCTTCGATTTCAAAAAATATTGAAAATATAATAAAGAAGCAATAATAATTTTTGCTTAAATACCCATTGAATAGGGCGCTTAAAAATATTGATAGCATAATTAACATTGATAGCATAATGAAACCTACTAAGCGGTTCATGAACATTTTCAAATAATATTTTTCTGGCTTGAAAAATTAAATTGTCATGTTCAAAATTCTTGAACCGAAGCACAACTACCAGAATTTAAGTGCACTATTTGATTAAAGCATCTGAAAAAGATAAAACTCGAGAACGGCAACGTAAACATTTGACTGCAAATCAAATGTAAGAAATTCCTGTGCAATTCGCCACACTCGAATTCTCGGTCCTAGCAAACAAAAGTTTTAGATGATTTACAAAACGAGCAACAAATAGCTCTAAAATATTTATTTCGCTCTCGAGCATTTATGTTTTTG